AATTGCTACAAAATTCTGCTAGTCCCTAAAACCTTAACTGTTTCTTGGTTCTCAGTGTCAGAACAGCTGCAATTGCATTCAATCTATCTGGATTAATAGAAAATCCTTCCTTAGATATTAGGTGGCATAAGTAGTTGTTTTGGGTTTTTTGTTTTGTTTTGTTTTTACAAAATTGAAGTTTTTCTTTAGACACTTTATGATCCATTAGGGCCAATTGTAACAGGTGTATTCCATCTACTGAGGAAGCCTATTTGTTATCTAAGCAAATATGTAAATCATCTATGTATTGTATTAAGATAGGCTTCTCAGCCAGGCATGGTGGCTCATACCTGTAAGTCCAACACTTTGACTTTGGGAGGCCAAGGCAGGAGGATCACTCAGGATCAGTCAGGAGTTCAAGACTAGCCTTGGCAACATAGCAAGAGCCCATCTCTACAACAGTTTAAAAAAGCAGCCATGTATGGGGGTGCATGCCTCTGGCCCCAGCTACTTGGGAGCCTGAGTGGGAGGATCACTTGAGCCTAGGAGGCTGAGTCTACAGGGATACGTGATAGCGCCACTGCACTCCAGTCTAGGCGACAGAGTGAGACCCTGTCTCAAAAAAAAAAAAAAAAAAGAAAAAAAAAGAAAAGCTGTGGTATGCCTGTAATCCCAGAACTTTGGGAGGCCAAGGCAGGCAGATTACTTGAGCCTGTGAGTTTACTTGAGACCAGTCTGGGCAACATGGCAAACCCTGTCTCTACAAAAAAAACAAAAAAAACAAAAAAACAAACAGAAATTAGCCAGGCATGGTGGCTTGTATTGTATTCCCATGTACTCTGAGGTAGGAGGATCACTTGAGCCTGGGAGTTCAAGGCTATGGTGAGCTATGATTGTGGCACTGCAATCCAGCATGGGCAACAGAGCAAAACTGTGTCAAAAAAAAAAAAAAAAGACAGGCTTCTCAATGAAGTTATCATCTGACAGGTCTTTTATTAATGTTTGTGAAAAGTAAGTGAGGCCTTCAGTGTATCCTGGAGCATGAATGTCCAAGTATATTGTCTGTCTTCCCAAGTAAAGGCAAAGAGAAATTAGCTAGTTTTATCTACAGGAATTCTAAAGAATGCGCTACATACATCTATGACTATAAAAAATTCTGCATTCACAGTGGCTCACACCTGTAATCCCAGTACTTCAGGAGGCCAAGGCAGGCAGATCACGAGGTCAAGAGATCAAGACCATCCTGGCCAACATACTGAAACCCCATCTCTACTAAAAATACAATAATTTTATTGTAGGGGGGCGTGGTGGTGCATGCCTGTAGTCCTCGCTACTTGGGAGGCTGAGGCAGGAGAATCACTTGAACCCGGGAGGCGGAGGTTGCAGTGAGCAGAGATCACGCCACTGCCCTCCAGCCTAGCAACAGAGCGAGACTCCATCACACACACACAAAAATAATAAAATAAATTCTGCATTCAATGGAATAGATATGAGCAATGTGTGAGGATTAGGCACTACTGGATGCTGTGGAATTATGTTGTTTATTGCTATCAAATTCTGTACAAACCCCCATCCTTTACCATTTGGTTTTCTTACCAGGGGGGTTTGTGTATTACAAGGGCTTATATAGAGAATGATCAGGGGTCTTTCTTTCTTTCTTTCTATTTTCTTTCTTTCTTTCCTTTCCTTTCTTTTTTTTTTTTTTTTTTTTTTTGAGGTGGAGTGTCACTCTGTCACTAGGCTAGAGTACAGTGGCACAATCTCAGCTCACTGCAACCTCTGCATCCTGGGTTCAAGTGATTCTCCTGCCTTAGCCTCCTGAGTAGCTGGGACTACGGGTGTGTGCCACCACACCTGGCTAATTTTTGTTTGTTTGTTTGTTTTGTATTTTTAGTAGAGATGGGGTTTTGCCACATTGGCCAGGCTTGTCTCAAACTCCTGACCTCACACAATCTGCCTGCCTCAGCCTCCCAAAGTGTTTGGATTACAGGTGTGAGCCATTGTGCACAGCCTGATCAGTCCTCTTTTTATATAATCTGAAATTATAGGTTTTATCCCTTCTAAGGCTTCAGTTATCGTGGGATAGTACCTGATATTTGGAAGGGGTTTTGGTGAAATTTTTTGAGATGTTATTGAAGTAGCTGAAACAATAGTTTCTGTAGCAGTGAAGGACTTTGACCACAATCAATCAAGTACCACCTTTATTAGGTTTTCTAATTCTTTATTGCTTAATAATTCAGTGTCCTCAGTGGCAAGATGGATAGTAACTGGATTAAATTTTGAAAATTGTTTTGCTTGTATCTGTTAATTCTGTGGTATCATCCATACCATCTAATTCTGAATATATTTCCCGCTTCTGAGAGAAAAAAATAAAGGTATTATATAGTTCTAAGAAGTCTCTTCCTATCAGATGGATGGGGACTGATGGAACCAAAAGGAAAACATGATTCCCTTGTGAGATACCTAGTTGAGAAGTTGCAGGGTGAGACTTGTGTGCTGATATGGAAGGACACCTACCATTTGGACCGAGTGTTTACCCTGAGGAATGGGATTCTGTGATAAGGTGGGATTTATTACAGATAATGTTGCTCGGTATCAACAAGGACTTGGGGTTGTTCTTTACTTAAAATAATCTCTGTTTAGGCTGGGCATGGTGGCTCACACCTGTAATCACAGCACTTTGAGAGGCTAAGGCAAACAGATCACAAGGCCAGAAGTTTGAGATCAGCCTGACCAACATGGTGAAACCCCGTCTCTACTAAAAATACAAAAATTAGCTGGACGTGGTGGCACATGCCTATAATCCCAGCTACTCAGGAGGCTGAGTCAGGAGAATCACTTGAACCCGGGAGGTGGGGGTTGCAGGACGCCGAGATTGCACCACTGCACTCCAGCCTGGGAGACAGAGCGAGACTCTATCTCAAATAAATAAATAAATAAATAAATTAATTAATTAATTAATTCTATTTCTCCCAGAATATTAGTAAGCAGAAAAGGAAAGTTCCCTTTAAATTTATCAGAGCACCTCTATTCCATATTTTCCTCCTTCATCTGTTGTCATTCCTTCTGTTTTAGTTTTCAGTAATCTTTTTTTTAAAGTGGCCAGTTTTATTGCAGTTATTACAAATTGAAGGGTTAGACCTGTTCAAAGGTTTATTGGGGTATTTTGACCGTCTACACTTGTTGGATACTTGTTTTAGTTGCAAATTCATAACTTTACTTCCTTTATTATTTTATCTGGCCTCTTTATCTTTTTCTTCTTTAAAGTACACAACAACTGGTCAGCAGGATTAACTAAATCGTGGGTTTAAGAAGTGGCCCAACTAAGGCACTGTCTCTTTACTATCACAGTGAATTCTTCATCTAGAACATTTATAAAATTGGAGTTGAGGAAAGTATCTTTTTTTTTTGAGATGGAGTCTCCCTCTGTCACGCAGGCTGGAGTGCAATGGCGTGACTTGGCTCATTGCAACCTCCACCTCCCGGGTTCAAGCAATTCTTCTGCCTCAGCCTCCCAAGGAGCTGGAATTATAGGCGCATGTCACCACGCCTGGCTAATTTTTGTATTTTTAGTAGAGACAGGGTTTTACCGTGTTGGTCAGGCTGGTCTCGAACTCCTGACCTCAGGTGATTATCCGCCTCAGCCTCCCAGAGTGCTGGGATTACAGGTGTGAGCCACCGTGCCCAGCCCAAGAAAGTATCATTTTTATTATTAGCATAACTCACCTCAGATAAGCCTGAATATTGCCTAAAAGTCTTTTCACATCTTTCAAAGTATAACATAACTGACTCATCTGGATTTTGTACATATGGTTATATTTTATGCCAGTTGACTATCTTTTGGAAGACTAAAGGAATGGCTGTAAACAGAGCCTTTGTAGTTTAATGGGCATTCCTGTGGCCTTCTCCTGAACATTTATGGAAATCTTCCAGGGGACTTACCCGTTGGACTTTACCCACCCGTCTTTAGCTTTACTTTCTGATACTAACACGTGAACTAGTTGATGTAAATCAGAAAAGCCAGAGTCATAAGTTTGAATATTTAGTTTAAATTCCCTGGCAAAGCAAATAGGGTCCTGATGGGGGTCAGGACAATCCTTATGTCTATAAGTTCTACCTTTGACCATGGTTGATAAACCAAGGCAGGTCCCCCGCTACCAGACACTGGCTGTTTGTGAAACAGAGCCAGAACAGCAGGGGTGGGAAGTGGAGGAAAAGAAGGCAGATCAGTAAGAATAAAAAGAGGCTGAGGGAGAAAGAGAAGCCTTGGCAGCCTTTTTAATTCAGAAATTGTTTTAGGCAATCTTTTATTTTCCTCCTGCAGTGAAGTAACTTTATCAGAACCTCTCTGGATGCTTCTAAATACCTCTAAAAATAAATCTCCCCATTATCCTATTTTATCCTAGAACCGGATTTTTCTTTTTTTTGAGACGGAGTTTCACTCTTCCCAGGCTGGAGTGCAATGGCGTGCTATCTCAGCTCACCGCAAGCTCCACCTCCCAGGTTCAAGCAATTCTCCTGCCTCAGCCTCCCGAGTAGCTGGGATTACAGGCATGTGCCACTACACCCGGCTAATTCTGTATTTTTAGTAGAGACGGGGTTTCTCCATGTTGGTCATGCTGGTCTTGAACGCCTGACCTCAGGTGATCCGCCCGCCGTGGCCTCCCAAAATGCTGGGATTACAGGCATGAGCCACCGCGCCCAGCCAGAACCGGATTTTTCTTTCTTTTTTTTTCTTTTTTCTTTTCTTTTCTTTTCTTTTTTTTTTTTTTTGGGACGGAGTCTTGTTCTGTCGCCCAGGCTGGAGTGCAGTGGTGTGATCTCATCTCACTGCAAGCTCCGCCTCCCGGGTTCAGGCCATTCTCCTACCTCCACCTCCTGAGTAGCTGGGACTACAGGCGCCCGCCACCATGCCCGGCTAATTTTTTGTATTTTTTTTAGTAGAGACGGGGTTTCACCATGTTAGCCAGGATGGTTTCGATCTCCTGACCTCGTGATCCGCCTGCCTCGGCCTCCCAAAGTGCAGGGATTACAGGCGTGAGCCACCGTGCCCAGCTGGAACCAGATTTTTCTAATTGAGCACACAAATAAATTCGTTTAGGCATTTCAAAGTACCCTACTTTGGCCATTGCAATTTTGGTTCTTTGTGAGTTCTTCAAGAGAAAATTTTTTCTGAATAGTGACAGGAAGTAGAACCATAAGTATCGTACATGAATCCAGCTGGAGTCTCTAAAGATGGACCTCTCCGCAAGGAAGTCTCTGTTTTAGATGGCTGATCACCTATAATTTGTATTCTCCTCTTAGGTGACCAAAAGCTGAAAGGGAAAGATGTTTTTGATCAAACGTATTATTTATGGGAATAGCTCCCCAATGTGTTACCCTTGCATCAGTTCTTTCCTCTTATGTGTCTCAGTGAAACCCAGAAATTTTGGGAGCTTAAGGCACTGGGACATCAGTACCTTATATGTGTTTACTGTATTTAAGCAAATTTCCCTGCTTGTTCTTCTTTGGGGATCCCCTATGCGACCATTTCTCATCACAAATGATAAGCTCTGATACTCCTACAAGACCTCAGTCACCTAAGGTCTTTTGGCCAGGATGAATAGTATCCCTTACCTTCAGGGCTTCAGGACTTATCACATTCTCATAAAGATTTTTTTTAATTAATTTTTTTTTTTTTTCAGAGACAGGGTCTCACTATGTTGCCCATGCTGGTCTTGAACTCCTAGTCTCAGGTGATCCTCCAGCGTTGGCCTCCCAAAGTGCTAAGATTACAGGAGTGTGCCACTGTGCCCTGCCAATAAAGGTCTTTTATAAATTTTTGGTCACTCAAAAAAAAGAATTTAATTGTGCCAAATTGAACTGAGCTTCAAAACCTGGCTAATTTAAGGTCACAATTTTGCTTAAGCCACAGAAATTCACATCTTCTTATTAAAGGGAAACTGCTTTTCCTTTAACCAGATTTTGCATGAGAGGAAAGCAAACTTTAGCAAGTAAGGCAAACAAAACCTTAACCTTAAAAAAAGAGTGAAGCCATAAACCTGCAAACAACAGAAACTCTAGACAGGTAAGAAATGAAACTCCTACCTTAAAGCTTTAAAGTAGAACTTCAATTCCAGCCCCATTGAGTATGATATCAGGTCATTTGAACAATGTATGAATCTCACCTAAGCCAAGGAGATTCAAAATGCAAGAGGGGTCTCGCTTAGGGCTCCCATAAACTCCAGCAACAGTTTGTACTGGTACCGCCTACCTGTTAGCAAAACAGCAGGAGTCAGTGGCAGAAGCTAACTTCAGGTCACATCTGGGTCACCAGTATGTCAACCTGAAATAATTTAAAGCATCAGAATCCAGTTTAAGAGTTTATTCAAGCACAAAGTTGAGGATGAATATCCAGAAATACAGACCCCAAAGGAACGGGGTCGGTGCTCCAAAGCTAAAAAGTATGGTCTTACTTACATAGGCAGCAAACAAATTTAACAGAATTACATTTTTCATACAAGGGTAGTTTATGAGTTAGTGCAATTTTATTAGTTATAACTTGTTTTCTTTCCCAATTTAAACGAATATAAGAGTATATTTAGCTGGGCGCGGTGGCTCAAGCCTGTAATCCCAGCACTTTGGGAGGCCGAGAAGGGCGGATCACGAGGTCAGGAGATCGAGACCATCCTGGCTAACACAGTGAAACCCCGTCTCTACTAAAAAATACAAAAAACTAGCCGGGCAAGGTGGCGGGCGCCTGTAGTCCCAGCTACTCGGGAGGCTGAGGCAGGAGAATGGCGTGAACCCGGGAGGAGGAGCTTGCAGTGAGCTGAGATCGGGCCACTGCACTTCAGCCTGGGTGACAGAGCGAGACTCCGTCTCAAAAAAAAAAGAAAAAAAGAGTATATTTAACATTTTATTGTAGACAGTGTGATAGTTGTGAGGTCATTGTGTAAGAGAAGAAAGAAGGAAGCTAATCTATAATGAAGATCAACAGTTAAGAGAGAAAAGGTCTTCTCCGGCATCCTTTAGTCTTTTACAACATTTTATAAAACAATGTAGGTAAAGAAAAAGCTAATCCATAATTAAAGGAACAAAGGTTACAGCTGCCTGTCATGTGACTTGGGTCTCATAACCACATTTCTTTAAGGCTCAAAATAATTTAAAGTTCCAACCACTTTGATTTTTAATTTCTTATTTTCACATAACAACCTCCACATCTCTGTGGTTTATAATCTCATTTACTTATTTTTTTCTCACTCACAGGTCAGTGGTTCAGTTGGAGTTTGGCCAATCTTAGCTAATCTTGCATCCAAGATGCAGACTGGGCTGAGATCTACTTTACACATGCCATCCTGAGCTCCAAGCTCAAAAGGCAATAGCTAGGGGGCACAAATTCTCCTCACAGATACAACAAAAGTGCAAGAGTGCAATCCAAACAATGCAGGACAGTTAAATTTCTGTTCATATCGCACTTCTAACATCCAATGAGCTGAAGCAAGGCACGGGGTGAAACCTGGAACCAAGGGGTGAAGAGGCACCCACAATCCACCACAAAGCCATGGCAAGAGTGTAGAGGACTAGAACTCTCACAAGGCCTTAAGACTTGAGACCAATTATTCAATCAACTACAAATCTAACCTTTTTTATACCCCTTTCTCAGATGATGCCTGGATAACCCCACTTCTGATTTATTATAGATTTTATATATTTAAATTCTGACATATTTGTAATCCCAGAAGGCTTTATTATTTTTGTGTCATACAGTTAACTTTCATTTAGATTTACCAATATATCCTTTTTGTTGAATTTCATCCATTCTCTATCTCTGAGCTTCCACTTGAGAACATTTTATTTTTATCTGATAAAAACCCATTAGTATTTCCTTTAGTTTAGATCTTTTGGCAACAAATTTTCTCACATCTTGTTTGTCTGCCAATGTCATTATTTTCTCTTTCTTTTCCCTTCCCTTCTTCTCTTCTTCCCTTCCTTTCCCTTCTTCCCTTTCCTTCCTCCCTTCCCTTCTCCCTTCCTTTCCCTTCCCTTCTTTTTTGAGACAGTCTCACTCTGTGTTGCCCAGGCTGGAGTGAAGTAGTGCCATCTCAGCTCCCTGCAACCTCCGCTTCCTGGGTTCAAGCAATTCTCCTGCCTCAGCCTCCTGAGTAGCTGGGGCTGCAGGCATGCGCCGCCATGCCCAGCTGATTTTTGTATTTTTAGTAGAGACAGGGTTTTAGCAGAAATGGAGTTTCGCCACGTTAGCCAGTCTGGTCTCGAACTCCTGACCTTAAGCGATCTGCCCGCCTTGGCCTCCCAGAGTGCTGGGATTATAGGCGTCAGTCACCGCGCCCAGCTTAACATCGAGGTGGAAGTGCTGGGTAGAGAAGGAGGTAGTCCCTTTAAATGCTATGGAAGAGGGGAAGGGAAGTGCTGGGTAGAGGAGGGCGTGGTCCCTGGCAAGGGCTCCACCCCCACGGACCTAGGTGAGGACAGGCATTTTCTGCCCACATGTTGTATTTTCCAAGACCACCCTGGCCTGCCACGCCCCCATCCTGTGCCTATAAAAACCCCCAGAGCCGCTAGCTGGCAGACACACAGGTCGCTGGACATTGAGGGGAGGGGAGTGATACCCAGGTAGCTGGACATCCAGAGGAAGGCACTGACAGGCATCAGCTCGCTGGTGAAGCTGAATAAGATGGAATTTGGCTGGTGCAGTTGGAGGAGAGCCCAGGGCTGGTGAGCAGCGCAACTCCAGGGAAATTCCTTCCCACTCCATCCCCTTCTGACTTCCCCTTCAGCTTCTGCTGAGAGCTACTTCACTCAATAAAACCTTGCACTCATTCTCGAAGCCCAGGTGTGATCTGATTCTTCTGGTACACCAAGGCGAGAACCCGGGATACAGAAAGCCCTCTGTCCACGCGACAAGTAGAGGGTCTAATTGAGCTGGTTAACGCAAGCCGCCTATAGACGGCAGAACTAAAAGAGCACCCTGTTAACACACGCCCACTGGGGCTTCAGAAGCTGTAAACATTCACCCCTAGACACTGCCCTGGGGTTGGAGCTCTGCAGCAGTGGGGCACTGAAGAAGCGAGCTGCATCCCCATCGCATGCCCTGCAAGGGAGACAAGACAACTTTTCCAGTTTCAACCTCATTATTTTCTTTGGCCACTTTGAAGATACGATTATTCTGTATTCTGCTTCACTGTTTGAGAAGTCAGTAGTTAAGCTTAATTATCTCTCCCTAGAAAGTAATCCGTTGTTTTCCCTCTGGCTTCTTTTAAGGTTTTTTTCCCCTGGTTTTGAGCTATTTTATTATGATATGTCTAAGTGTATTTTGCTTTTTAAACATTCTAATTAAAATCTGTAATGCTTCTGAAAAGTGAAGATTGATATCCTTCATCAATTTTCAAATCCTAAGCCATTATCTCTTCAGATATTGCTTCTGTCTCTTTCTCTATACTTCTAGGACTCAAGTTACCTGTATGTTAGACCTCTAACTGTGTCCTCTATATCTAATTTATTCATATGCTGTATTTTCTGTCCTTTTATCTCTGTGCTTGAATTTAGATATACTCTTCTGACTTAACTCTACCATCACTAGCTTTCTCTTTTCAGGGGTGTATGATATGCTAACACTATCTGTTGAATTTTCACAATTTCAGTTATATATTTCAGTTCTAGAATTTCCATTTGGTTCTTTATAATTTACAGGCTTGTGATAAAATTGTTAATCTTGTCTTTTATCCTCTTAACTGTGGTAAGCGTAACTATTTAAAAGTATTTGTGAAAACTCCATTCTTTGATCCCCTAGAGCTCACTTGTCTGTTATTGCTCTTGTTTTTGTTTTTGTTTTAGAGACAGGGTCTCATTCTGTCACCAAGGCTAGACTGCAGTGGTGTGATCTTGGCTCACTGCAGCCTTGACCTCCTGGGCTCAAGCCATCTTCCTGCCTCAGACTCTGGAGGTGCATGCTCAGCTAATTATTATTATTATTATTAATTTTTTAGAAACAGGGTGTCACTATGTTGTCCAGGCTTGCTCTTCTTTTTGCAGTCATTTTGCCTTTTCTCCTTGGGTGTCTACTTATTTTTGATCTACTGTTGAACACTCCATGTGAACAACTGTAGAAGTAATTTGAGACCATGGATGAGGTTATCATTCCCAGAGAAAGTTTACATTTGCTGCTGGCAAGGACTGACATGATTTGAATGGAGTCCCAAACAACTTGTGGTCCCAAAACAGTACAGTGGGATATCTTCTTGGTGGTACCAAGCCTCCAAATTTTGTCGTCCTAGGGCAATGAGAGTGTTAAAAGTGCTGCTCAGAGTCCTAGTGTCTCAAATATTCATCTGGAATTGGCAGATGCCTTTCAAGAAAAAGCAGCCACAAACCAGCTCACCTCTCTCATGTCCTTTCTCTCTGATATTGGCCTCATAATTATTCACTGCCTTGTTAGTTCTCTGAAGCTGTCTGAAAACTGAAGTCCTCCATTGACTTTTTCTTTTTTTAAGACAGGGTCTTTCTCTGTTGCCCTGGCTGGAGTATAGTGGTACGACCATAGCTTACGGTAACCTTGAGCTTAGGGGCTCAAGTGATCCTCCTGTTGCAGCCTCCCAACTAGGCCAATAGACATGCATCACCATGCCCTGTTAAGTTTTAAATTTTTTTGAAGAGATGGGGTCTCATTATGTTGACCAGGCTGGTCTTGAACTCCTGGGCTCAAGCAATCCTCCTACCTCAGCCTCCCAAAGCACTGGGATTATAGGCCTCCACAGACTTTTCAATTCCAGCTATAGGAAAGTCCCATGGGAATCAGAATTTAGCTCTACCATATTGTTTCTTTTCTTTTTTTTTTTTTTTTTGAGGCGGAGTCTCCCTCTGTCGCCCAGGCTGGAGTGCAGTGGCCGGATCTCAGCTCACTGCAAGCTCCGCCTCCCAGGTTTACGCCATTCTCCTGCCTCAGCCTCCCGAGTAGCTGGGACTACAGGCGGCCGCCACCTCGCCCGGCTAGATTTTTGTATTTTTTAGTAGAGACGGGGTTTCACCGTGTTAGCCAGGATGGTCTTGATCTCCTGACCTTGTGATCCGCCCGTCTCGGCCTCCCAAAGTGCTGGGATTACAGGCTTGAGCCACCGCGCCCGGCCTACCATATTGTTTCTTGTGCCAGTTATTAAATAATGTCTTTAAGCTCTATTCTCCCTTCCCACCTCTAGAAACTGCTTCTGATGCCAGGGCTGAAACTCTAAGACACATATTTCTCACTGGCAAACAAAGAAGACCTGATCTAATATTCCCTATTAGACTAAGCTGATAGGTTGACAGAGGGAGACCATAGGGCCACTTCCTGTGAGCATCACTCCAGCTAGACTTCTTCAACAAGGAAGCAGCACACTCTTCCCACAGGAGAAGCTGAATCCAGTTTGAAGTTTTTCCAGGACTTGGCAGAACCAGCCTCAATATGCCTTCTCCTTAGAGGTCTGGGTGAGAGTCTCCCAGTGCCCTCTTTAGGGGGCTTACTCCCAGCTCCACAGCCACCCCTCATCCATAGTATGTGTCTAAGTCCCATAGGGACCCTCCTCAGAGGTCTGGGTCCCATCCCCATGGGATCTCTCCTCTGGGCTCAAAGAGCCCAGCCCCAGCTGGTCAACACACCTCCTCAGAGATCTGAATTCCAGCTCTGCAAGCCCTTCCTTTAAGCTATAATAATTCCAGCTTCTTTTTCATCTTTGAGTTCTAGGGGTGGTAGCTGTGTCCTATGTTTGTACCTCCATATCTTGGGATTTTCCTTTTATTGAGTTAACTTTATTTCCTGTTAACTATTGTTTATATTCAATTCCCTCTGTTTAAATAACTGATGCACTTTCTCTTCTGTGGTTTGAAGGTTTGTGTCCCCTCCAAAATTAACGTTGAAACTTAATCCTGGGCCAGGCGCGGTGGCACACGCCTGTAATCCCAGCACTTTGGGACACCGAGGTGGATGGATCACCTGAGGCCAGGAGTTTGAGACCAGCCTGGTCAACATGGTGAGACCCTGTCTCTACTAAAAATGCAAAAATTAGCCAGGCATGGTGGTGGGCGCCTGTAGTCCCAGCTACTTGGGAGGCTGAGACAGGAGAATGGCTTGAACCTGAGAGGCAGAGATTGCAGTAAGCAGAGATCGTGCCACTGCACACCAGCCTGAGAGACAGAGCCAGACTCTGTCTCAAAAAAAAAAAAAAAAAAAAAAATTGAAAGGTTTTTTTAAGGGTTACTTAGCAAGTTACCTACAAGTGATGAGAATAGTAAAGTCCCTATCAAGTCAGAACATTTAGTTTTTTTACAAATATATTAACAATTTTATTTTCTGTTAACCATAACTATCACTTATATTCACTTCTGTCTAGTCAAATAACTGATGTGCTTTCTGTCTCTTCTATGGTTTGAAGAGACAGAAAGATTTGTGTCTCCTCTAAAATTAATGTTGAAACAATCCTCACTTGAGGTCCCAACTTATTAACAATCCTGTCACTTTGCTTAACTACAATTTTCTTACATTCTTTCTTTTGGGTATAAATTTTTAGTTTTAATCCTCTAAAAGTCCTGGGTGATTTAGGGAGTGATGGTATTAATTACTAAAAGATTTATATAATGTTTGGGGTAAAGGGTACTTGGAGTCACAGGCATCACTGCCAAAATAAAGGGATTTGGGAAATGTAGTACTACCCACAGCAAAATCCAGCTCTATATTTAGCGGATGAGGCCACACGGATTTTAGAAACGGCAGGCTGCAGAGGTCTTGGCTAATAGTGGAAAAGAGATTTAACTTGAAAGTGAACAGTCTGTTCTATTCCTTAATATATTTTTGGCTTCTAGATGGTCAAGCCGTTGCGCAAATAATTGCACCATCCTTGTCTTATTCAAGGTGGGCTGTTCATATCTTAAAATTACCAGTGAGCAACAAGGAAAGCAGCAGAGACGGCTATCGATGACACCGTAGGAGTGCCTGTGCTGAATGCCAAGGGCTTCCCCTTCCTGACAGATATCTTTTATGCAGCTGAATCATCTGTATGCAAAACACCTCAGCCAACGGTGCCTCGGAAAAACAACTGGCTGCTGGGCAAACCAGGTGTGGGCTCCAGCTTCGACCTGCTACTACTGTCGTGCAGCCACGGGCACTCTAGGTGATCCTCACTGGCCTGGGGCTGGTCATCTGCTGCTAGATGAGCTTCGCTGACTCTTAGCATTGATATTCCAACACAGTGTCCTCTAGAAACTGCATGAGCCAGGAAAGATGTTTCTTAAAGGAGCAGGGGCCGAGCCTCACGCCGAAACACGTCTGTAACAGGTACAGTCACGTGTCCCATGCATCCATGCATTCTGAGGCATGCGTCTCGGCTGTGGGATCATCACAAGTGAACTTACACAAACTCAGATGGCACAGCCACTACACAACTAGGCAGCTGATGCGGTCCGCTGCTGCTAGGCTGTACACCCGCACCGCGTGTGAGGTGCAGAATTCCGCCGGCACCCGTAATGACACACCTGTACCGTGTTATCTCCAAATACAGGGAAGGAAATGTCCTTGGCAAAGCCCTTACCAGAGGACAGGAAGTTTCCAGCTCCGTTATCATCTTATGGGACCACCGTCATATACACGGTCCTCCTCAGACCAAGAGGTCGTTCGTTATACGGCACATGTGGTTCTTCCAAGACCCTTCTCCATGTTTCTGTCACATCCGTGCCTGCGTAAAAAGTGGCCCTGAACTCAACCGTCCAGAGTTGGAGGCAGAACTAGCACCACTGCCCCGCTCCACATGTGGAAGGCGCTGGGCAAGGACCGCCACAGACCCCGTCAGGGTTTATCCCCTGAAAACCTTTCACTCGGGGACCTCGCGCACACCGCGTCAGGGCAGAGGGCGCGCGGGACTACTTTCCGCGGACCCTCGGAGCGGGCGGAGGGATCTGCGCAGGCGGGGGCGGGGCGGGGGCGGGGGAGCGGGGGCGGGGGAGCGGGGGCAGGGGAGGGGCGGGAGGAAGGGGCGCGGGGGAGGGGCAGGGGAGGGACGAGGGACGGGGGAGGGGCAGCAGAGGGGGTGGGGGCCAGGGCGCGGTCAGGAGGAGGGCGGGGGCCGGGACCTGGAGTCGGAACAACTGCGCCTGCGCCATCGCCACCGGTCAGCCCGCGCGAGGGGTCGGCGGTCATCCCTGCCGGTTCCACCGCCGCCGCCGCAGCCGCCTAGGTCCCGCACCAGCCATGGCGCAGATCCTCCCTATTCGCTTTCAAGAGCACTTCCAGGTGAGGCCCGGAGGGACCGGGGGATGCGCCCCGCGCTCCGTCCTGTCAGCCGCGCCTCCGCCGGCCGGCCTCTCAGGCTTGACCCCGCGCCGCTAGCCGCGCTGAGCCGCTGCCCAGCTGGCCGCGCCGACTTCTGACCTCCCACCTGGGTTGGGGCTGCGGGGTCCCGGGCGCGGCGGCCGCTCACGAGGACCCGCTCGGGTGCCGTCGCCGAAGCCCGTTACCGGCGGGCGCCGGCTGGGGAACGCTGGTGGTGGAAGCGAACGCCCCCTGGGACGCCCCGCTCAGTGCCCGCGAGGACGCACACAGATTCCCGCTTCAGGCGGGGCAACCCGAGGGCCGCGCTGATCCCAGACCTCCACGCCCCGCTTGGTGTTCTCCGGTCCTTATTCGCCCCTGAGTTTGCCTCTGTGCTCTGTTTTCGTTCCCAGGGCGGCTTCCCCTGGGAGGACCGTGAACATGCGTGACCCAAGAGAAAAATTGATCAGGGCGAAGCCTAAGTAAGGCTTTTCAATGCAGTAACACCTCCAAAGCCTGCCTTTTTAATAAGGTCCCAGTTTGTTCTCCGTTTGTTTGTGCTCACGAACATAAGGACTGGTCGCCTGCTTTGAGCAAAGGCTCGGGTCGGGCGCCTTGCGGGCCGCTCACGGGTCTGCCTGGGAACGGTGCTGGTCCCCTCGTTTACCCGGGGAGGTGCGGCAGAGGAGGGTCTCCAGCGGCTCCTCCCTGAGTGCTCCGTGTTAAATCATCACACTCCCATTCGTTGCGATTCGCTTACTCTTTTGTAGATGAGGAAACCGAGTCTCAAAAGTGTTGAACTCATCTTCATTCAATAAGAACAGGATTCAGACTCCAGTCTTTTTGACTATAAAGTAGTACATCGAGGAACGTGCTTGATTGAAAGTTCCTGTTTTCACAGTGCAGAGCACTGTTAGCCCTAGATGCAGACAGGAAAGGCCTTGGGACCTGTGTAGTGACCAGTCCGGTCCCCTCATTCTGCAGACTGGAAACTTGATATCCAGAGGATCCTGCCAGGGTCACTTGGTTAGTGACACAGTGGAAATTGTGTGGAGGTGGAAGTGCCTCGACATCTGTCCCCCTGGACTTCATTCTGCCACTAAGCTGAGCCAGCGCCAGTCATGTTGAGGTAGCAAAATACTGCTGCTGCTCATAATAATGAGATGATGTAGTTATCATTTATTGAGCCATTTCTCTTGCCACTGACTATTGTATTTTATAAATCTCGTTTAATTTAATTCTCATGATAACTGAGGCAAGTAGTGATATCCTGTTTTCTACCATGGGTCACTGAGGTTCATATTATAATTCATTCAGCTAAAGTTACACGGCTAGTAAGTGACAAAGCTTGAGTTCTAAGCCAGGTCTCTGACTCCAATGCCTGTGCTTAACCAGTGTCTAAATATGTTCTTTTCAAAGAGCAAGAAAGCAATAAGGCATTTTAGGTGTCTATCAGCGTTTCTAATGTCCATCAGGATTTGTAATGTCCGTCAGAGTTGATATGTTCCATTATCTGGAAAATGCTTGTGGCTTGTGGGCAGCCACGTGAATGAAAGTGTGTGGTTTGTGGTCTCCAACACTGACTGGGTCTTTGAGGCTGCTCTACATTCTGTAGGGCACACACTGAGTCAGCACACACTGCCTTCACTACAGACATTTCAAAACTTCAGCCTGTTCCTTAAATCCCAATCCTGCCATTCCTACCTTGCAACCAGCAGATGACTTGGAGAAAACTAAAGCCATAACTGGGATGTTTCTCACCTTTATGGCTGCAGACTTAGACGCTTGTCTGCAGCCACCCTTTCCTGCCTTCCTGTTGCCTCAAAAGTAGGTGTCCTTTCTTGTCTATGCTCTGAATCTGGTATCCTTCCTCCCTAAAAGGGAGCCTTGTTCAGTCATAGCCTCTCTTTGCTGTATTTTCATCCTTTCCCTCTCATGGTTTCTTCGTGTTTGTGTTGGGCAATGCTCACCTCTCTTCCATCTGTACAACCAGCAAACTTCTTCCCCCGCTCCTGTCCCCACGAAACTTCTCTTATAGCTGGATATCATGAAAGAGCTGCTTTAGCGCTTCATTATTTTTATATTCCCCAGTAACCTGCAGTCTGGCTTTTGTCTCCATTTTTTCCCCTGAATCTGTTTTTGCAAAGGTTACAAGTCATCCTGCAGGCTTTTTTATAAGGGTCACATTCTGTCTCTGTCCCATATTCTTACATTTTTTAACTTTCTAAAAATATGAAAATGATTTTTAGTTTAGCCATACAAAAGCAGGCTGCAGTTGGCTAATCTTTGCTATAAAAAATAAAATCAGGCCGAGCATGGTGGCTCACACCTGTAATCCCAGCACTTTGGGAGGCCGAGGTGGGTGGATCACCTGAGGTCAGGAGTTCGAGACCAGCCTGGCCAACACAGTGAAACCTGTCTCTACTAAAAATACAATATTAGCCAGGCGTGTTGGTACGCGCCTGTAGTCCCAGCTACTCAGGAGGCTGAAGCAGGAGAATCTCTTGAACCCGGGAGGCAAAGGTTGCAGTGAACCGAAATCATGTCACTGCTTTCCAGCCTGGGTAGCAGACCAAGACTCCGTCTCAAAAAATAAGATTAGATGAGATAAAGCCCATCACAGCACACGCGTCTTCTGTGATGTCCAGCCGCATCTGATGCTGTACTTTACTGCCTCCTGAGGGTCCTTTCTCTACTGTTTTTGGTCCCACAGTTTCCCAAGGTGTCTCCTTCCTTTCTGCCCACACCCACTGCCCTGTGGGTGCCTCTTGTGGATGAACTTGGAATCTGTCTTGAGCCCCTCTACTTTTTCATTCAGGACATGCTGCTGGTGATTTTTTGTGTTCCCATAAACTCGGTGTTCCCAAGCCATCTGAGTGTTTTTGGAGTTTCACTGCTGTGTGCCTGAGAGGCAGTAGCAGGTCCTGGTTAAGAGCACAAACTGAGGCCAAACTGAAGGCATTGAATCTGGACCTAGGCACTTACTGGCTGTGTGATTTAGGGCAATGTTTGTAGCTTTTTTGTGCTTCTATATCTTCATCTATAAAATAAGAATAAAAGGCATACTTCTTATCTCACAAGGTAGTTGTGAGGTTTTGAGTTAATAAATGTAAAGCTTTAAACAATGACATAATACAGTAGTCCCCTTTACCCATGGGCAATATGTTCTAAGACCCCCCAGAGGATGCCTGAAACTGCAGATTGTTTTGAACCCTTTATACACTTTTTTTTCCTATGCATACATATGTATGATAAAGGTGAATTTATATGAAGCACAGTAAGAGATTAACAATGATAACTAATAATAAAACAGAACAATAATAACAATATGCCAGCATCACTACTGTTGGCCTTTGGGGCCATTATTAAGTAAATTAAGGGTTACTTGAACACAAGCTCTGTAATGCTGCAACAGTCAACCTGGTGACTGACCGCTACTGAGTGACTAATGGGCCGGCAGTGTATACAGCTGGATATGCTGGGCAGAGGGATAATTCACGTCCCGGGTGGGCTGGTACAAGATTTCATCACTCTCTGCGGAATGGCATGCAATTTAAAACTTAAGAATTGTTTATTTCTGGGATCTTACGTTTAATATTTTCAGACTGCAGGTAACAAAGTGTGAAAAAACCACAGATAAAAGGGGACTACTGTAAAGCACTGTGTCCTTATGAGCTGTAGCTGCCATTGTGACAGCTGTCCACAGAAGAAGGCCAGGGAATGGTCAGCAGGTTCCTCAAACACAGTGTTCAGAAATGGGGTTCCCTTTCTCCCCAGATGTGTATCTTGTCCAGTGTCTAGCCAGGAGCCTAGGATGTGTTTTCCCCATCCTGTTGTCCCTTTCTCCTGTTTACTTTTGGCATTGTTCTGCTACTGTCATCATGACTGCCATTTCCCTAAACTATGCCATCCTTCCCCACCTTGATGGTCATGCTAGCTTTGTCCTTCTGCTTCCAGTCTGGCCCTCCTGCGGTCCATTCTCCAGCACACAGGCAACGTGATCTTCTCCAAGGATGAGCATCTGCTTAAAGTCCTTCAGGGAGTGGTTTTGTGTTTCCTCTGGCATGAAAAGGCTGATCCCCACGTGCTCTTTCCTGTTCTTCCTAGCCCGACACCTGCTCAACTCTGCTGCTACTCCCTTTGTGTCCTTGCCAGAACACATTCTCCCCTCACCCCTCTTTACTCACTGACTCCTACTGAGCCTTCTGGTATCTGTGAAAATGACACTGTCTCTGGAAGCTCTCCCTGATTTGTCAGTTAGGAGTTCTTCCTCTGTGCCTCTTTGGGGTTCCTCTTATAATGACCCTCTTCCCAGGGTACTGTAGCTGTTCATTTTCTCTACTGGATTGTGAGCTCAGGAGCTACTATTTGAACTTTTTAGAAATATTCAAATATCAGAGTTGGAAGGGTATTTCTGTTTGTAATATCTGAGGATGGGCTGAGAATTTAGGACATCTTGATTCAGAAGAGGAATGGTTGAATAGTTTGGTGACATTAAAATTTTCTTGAGCCTTAAGCAATTCCCCCTAGCTAGATCAAAAAAGCAGCTGCAAGTTTGTAAGCTGTGAAATGTGTCATAGCTCAATACACAGAAAACATAAACATGTTCCCTCAAAGTG